CATAATTTCCTTTCATAATGAACAAATTATGAAACAACTAAATCTTGTGTTCTTCTGTTTTGTTGGGTATCCAGCTAAATGTGGATCGAAATATGTGTGATAACATCGCAAATTATAAGTACAAAATAAATTTAGAAACCAATTGCAAAAATCTTATTAGTATAACTACTACTACACGGTAATAGAATTGACGGTTTTACTATGAAGCCAACGATTGACTCCATAGTGGAACCAACCTTCTATATACAACAAATAACCTACCATATTAGTAAAATAATATTAGTGTTATTTAAGTAATCAGAGAATATGGTAGGTTTATTTGTTGTATATAGAAGGTTGGCTCCACTATGGAGCCGACCGTTGGCTTCATAGCAAAACCGATTGAATTGATATCTCAACACTAATAATAAATTCCTACGATTTTCTATTCATTTCGTAACAAATGATATACCATAACAAATATCATATAAATTAATGGATTAGAAAAAAAAAACTATAATAGTAATTCATGTAATCGAAAGTTATTAGTTTTTAAAATTCAAAAAATATATATTACAATATTTTTCAATTAAGTGTTGGTTATAATATTTGTCATAATTTTTCAAATTTAGCCTAACTTATTTAGGAATCGAAATAATATATTGTAACAATGTATGAGTAAAAGAAGAAAGAGAGAAGTATTATGTGAGTATTATTTCAATAATATTGATTATGTTAAATTTTTGTTTGCCTTAATTATAAACAGAATCTAAAACAACAACTATTTTATAACGAGTTAAATAAACATATAAATCATATTAAATTATTATATGTCATACAATAAATTAAATAGAAAATAATTATTTATATTGAAAACCATTTTTATACTAATCGATATTGCTTCATTGCTTTAAAACATTAAATTATAATTATTGACCCGTGCATCGCACGGGCTACGTGCTAGTAATGTTAAAAGAGTATAAATTTGAATCAAATTGGTATCTCCAATGCATCAATTTGATAAGAAGTTATTTGCATAGGTGGACCAATAAAAATAATCATTTATACAAGAATAATAAAAAAATTAAATCAAATATAAAGTGAATTAATTAGACATCATGTTTAACATGGTGTTAGATATTAGAAAGTGTACTCAACATTGTCAACATTAAATGCTATTTACCTCATCATGAAAGAGCTCATGACAAGATGCATTGGAGAACAAATTAATAACACACTTTCAAAAATTGATGATATGGATGGATTTTTATATTGTCAAAAGTCACATTGGAGATACTCTTAGGGAGCAAACTCTTAACCTCTATCCCAGTACCACGAAATTTGAGCAGAATCAGATTTTTTTAGAATCAGATTTTTTTAGCAGGCGACTGGTGATAATCCACAGTGGCGAAACCAGCCGGTCATCCCGGGGAGGGCCCAATTTGCCGCGGCGCACCACCCCCACTCCGGCATCGGAACGCTCAAAGGGCTTTTGTGGACGCTCTAAAAATTTTTCGTAGGATATAAAGGAATACTCTAGAGATTTTTTGAAAAATCAAACTAAGTCCGGAATTAAACTGGTATACTTAACTGAATTGGTTTAACTCGAAAAATACTCGAATTTATACTAATAAAAATCTCGGACTCAATTATAATAATAATAAAGAATTATACCTCCTTTCGAATAGACGAAAAACTAAAAAAAATGAGAAAACGAAGCCTCGAACGATCGAACTCGTCCTCGACAAATTTGCTCCTTTTGTTACTATTTAACGCAGAAATTCAAACTCCCATAATAAATGCTCGGAACTGCGAAAAATACGAAATTTTTCTGTATGGAATCGTGCTTGAATTGTCTACACGCTCCAGCTCGATTCTCGTTAAGCCGAGGTCACACGCAACCTTACGGAACCCCAAAAAACGGCTTTTTATTCTTCTATTATGCGCACTCGACTTCGAGCTTCTCAAAATAAATGCTCGAAACTTCGAAACGTGAAATAAATTTTACGAACGACTTCTACTGTTCTC